AAAACTTTCCCTGTTGAAATATGTCGTCTTGCAGGTTAATAGAGTTCCTTAGCAACATCAAGCAGTCAGATATTTTTATTTCTCCCATAGTACAGCTACTTGAAGGGTGTGTCTGATTCGTACTCATCTCAGTGATATTTACTTTAATTTTATGAATGTACAACATTATATGGAACACTCTTCACTCATATATGCGTTGGCAAACTGTAGCAGGATACGCTGCTCATAGTTCAGAACTAAACTCAAAGCATATGTGAATGCTAAGTTTTCAAAGCGTCTTTTGAAACGTAAGAACATTAGAACATGATAATACAATAAAAAAAAGACAGCGGATAAATACACCCAGAGTGCAAATATATTCGTGACATTTTTTTTTACTTTACATATATTTCGACTTTGGTAAATGATTAAATCTTGATTTCTTTTAAGGATACGCTGTTAAAAGCTCTACAAAAATTCTAATGGCAAAATTCAGTTGACGTGTCCTGGTGGTGTTTTTCATGCAGAAAATTAAAAAAAACATGTATGATATTGCTATTTTTTACCATATTTTTTCTCATAAAAATATACAGAAAACTTATTTGTTTCATTCATATCACAACACAGATAAATCGTAAAACCTTAATGTTTTTTAAGCGACGTGTCATCAAAATTGCTACAAACTTACATGAGCAAATTTCTACTGATATACTGGGATGATATTTCTGTACAGTTGAAAGTGAAGGTCTAAATGATGTTGCTACTTTCACGATATCGAGTATTAAAGGAATGTTTGTTAGTTATGTTTAAGTTTCTGGACACATATTCTTCGGTAGTATATTTTTATCCAATATTCATTGAGTACTCATTTTATCGTTGATAGATTTACATTTACATAGGGCTTTCAAGGAATATTTAATCTATATTTTAAAATAGTTGAATAATAGACCCTCAAATGAAGCGAGTCTAGTGGAGTGCATCTAACAGACTATATCTTAAGATTCTCTCTTCTTTGAAAAATTTAATAGCCACACTTTTTATATGTGATTTTCTATGCAATGATGGATTTGATACCAACGGTGTCGTATGATAGTCTTTGTTGAAAATTTCTTATCTAATGCTTTTTGAACATTATTGCGATAATTAGATAAGTTTAACACACCGTATAGAATGCATCTAATGAATATGTAATGCTCATGTTATTATAAAGAAAATGACAAAAATTGTTTCTTTATATGTTGCCATCTTCTTACGACAAGTAAAACGTTTTCTCCTTTTACAGACTAGAATTTCTTCCTTATCTCTACTTACTACTGCGATATCTAATCTATCTTTCAACATTTGTCATTATATGCCATCATCGCAGTGTCCATTTCATCAAATCCGCCAAAGTTTCGGTAATGAATTGACAGATGTGACTTAGTAATAACCGAGACAGTAGTTTGACATGTATTGATGAATAGAAAAGATTGTTCACAAGTAATTCGAGCTAGCTATCGAAAATTGTTATGATGTCTTCTAATATTTGCTTTAGACAAATAGATATAATGCAGTTCTTATTGAAGAGATGTTACTATTTCTCAGAACTGTTTGAACGCCCTATGTATGTGTTTTTTTGTAAGAAAATCAATTTGTTATCCGAAGAACGAAGATATTCTAAAAATATCATGTATATATGCGTGTACTTCTTTTCGTTCATATTTTCTATTGCATCAAGTGTTGCATGAATAAATTGAACTCACTCAATCAACTCTAAACCATACACTTTGTTTGTATCTTTAGAGTAGTGATCCCCTCAAAAAAATTAGATCATCTCTGATAATAATGGTAAGTGCGTTTTGTTGTTATTTAGAATGACTTTTTCCATGAACTATCTCTTCAAATAATCCTTATTTTTTCTGTACTGTCTGCTTGCATATGTAACATAAGATATTATTTGTGCTGTTCTGCGAAGGTTTCTACACGCTCTCATTCCTATCATTTCCACTTTTCTGTGCTCTTTTTCTGTTGGAATTATTTCTGTGAATAATCCGTCTGCTTCGACGCCTTGTAAGACCCAAAGTTGAACTCTCCTTATCATAGTATTAAAAATCACGCTCACTTGATCGTTGATGCTTCCGCCACGATTGACCCCGACAAGATCACGGAGGAACCTTGTGGGTTGGCTTGGCTCCGAAGAACTTCTGACGCGACTTTGGCGTAGGCGGTATCAAAATCCATTTTCGTAAAATCCACATATATTCGACCCGATGTTAAAAAAGCCAGCCATCCATCAGCTTTATAACCAGACTGCACTCTGAGTGGAATTAAGATACGTCGTTTTTCAAATGCAAACTGTGCTTCAGATTGACAATACGGACTCATAAAATAACTCTCACTCATACATATTAGAATGCAGCGCGAATGCTTAATTGCATCAGCCATCACTTGCATCATTGCACCATGCATTTCTTCAAGATCAATCCATACACGAAATCTATTGGCAATGAGAACTTTGTAAATTCGATGGCATATATCTTTGTCTTTATGAGAATACGATATCATAATATCGTATTGAAATTCACGTTCAGAATTGCCGTATTTCGAAAATAACTGCCATAGAATGCCATCAGCAGCTTTTTGTAGATAAGGTGTATTTGAAGTCGAAGTGAGCGTTCGTAGGTGTTGAACAAAAGTATTGTTTTGTCGCAGACAAGTTCCGATCTCTTCGTTAAACGCTAGTGACATGATAATGTCGAGTGCATTTAGTTGTACTTTTGCAGGATCAAAATGAGATTCTGTTGCACACCGAATGAGGAGTGGAAGACCATCAACCTGTTTCATAAACTCTTCTTTGATTTGATCGTGTTGAACGAGATCTGCAGCGGAACAAATAGATTATGAAGTATGCTACTGAAAACAACTTTCCAAGTCATATTTAAAATCAAAAATGCTTACTTTAGTCCAAAAGATTTTTTCGAAAAATTTAAAAAACAAAACTGCTCTTACTCTTGAGACTACGAAGTACGCTGCGAAGCCGGAGGATTTTGTTTGAATCATCAATTACATTTTTGAGGAATGTGAGAAAGACACTTGCAATTTTGCTCGGATTCGTCAACACTTTAATGTCCTGCTCAGTTAGAATCGAGGCTAGAATACGATAAGCATTAAACTGCACATATTCGCTGTCAGCAGTAGCCAATTTCAGGAGTGTCTTAGACAGCTCTTCACTTTTGATGTAGCTGAGTATATTTTGATCCAGGATGAGTAAATATAATTGTAGCAGGAAAATTCCTGCCAAATTAGTATCCAATTTATCAGATATACTGTTCGATAAGGAGGATAAAATCAAAACAAAAGAATCAACTATTTTGTAACAGTCATTATAAACTTCTTTGCTGGAAGTTACGTCATGCTGCATGTCGAAATCTAGTATGATATTACCGATTTTTTTCATAGCATGGGTTGTCACTTCACTTCATTGTCGGACGGAGGATGCGTGACTCCGTAGCCATTGTGTGAATGGACTCAGCAAGGCAGTACGCATAATAAGACAGAATTCATCGCGACGATTCCCTCCATACCAAACGAAATAATCAGTACACGTGTCAAGCAAGAGTGTTTGTGCTTCATTGAGTTTTTTCAACTTAGCTATTTGCTTGAAAATATCGACAAGAAATGGTGAGCACACACATTTGACTATTGCGTCCAGAAGTAATTTCAGCAGCGGATCATTCTGAATTTCGATTCGACCTTGGGAGATATGATAGATAGCTCTCATCATAAAATCGACAGCCTTTATTTGAGGGTCTTGTAAATATTTGCCATTTGTAGCAATCTCTGTAAGACATTCGCTAAGCTCATCGACCAGAGGCTTGTAGATAAGAAGTTCTTTAAATCGGATCACATTGACACTGTTGACATGGGAACACATTCGGGCGAATGAGGTCGAAATTTCGAGAAAAACTTCGTTAGAAAATTTGTCGAGCACTTGATCACGTCGCCATCGACGCAAAATATCAAGATAATAATCACGAAAAATAATAAATAGTTGATGATCGATAATGCCGAGCTCTCCACACGACTTTATATTTTGTATATGAATAGACGCTAATATTTTTATGATCGTACTGGCATCATTCCTTAGATTGTGTTTATTTAATTCGCTAACAATGGCGTCCAAAGATCTCTTGAATTGTTCGGTGGTTATAGACATTCCTTGCTCTTCGATAAAAGCGCATTGTTGATCAATAATCATAGATCCAATCATGATAACACAAGCTTATATTTCAAATCAAGAGAGAATTGATTTTGTTAGAACGGTCGTATGATATACCAATTGTGTTTTTTTTGTTGTCTGAAAGTATTGCGCTGTTTCTCAATCAATAGAAATTTTAGGAGAGAGCGCTCAATATTGACATTGTCAACTGTGTACCGTCGATGTTGATGCTTGACGACAGAAAGAAAAAGACAGAAGAAATGAAAAATTTATTCTGCATCACTCAGGTGGCATGAAGATTGTGATGTAAAAAATGCTTATATTGCTGCGTAAATTATTATACGAGGTATACTTTGTTATTGCTACAGTCACAATGACAAAGTGTTGTTCATGGCCCATTTTTGCAATGAATGCAGAAATGTTTGATTCGTTAAACTCAAGAAATTTTTTTTTTGGAATGTTATGATGACTTCTCATGCTTTCTAACAAAATTATTTTTACATCTGCCTGTCCACACCCCATATAGGATACAGAAAAGTGGCCCAGAAGAAATCTGTTCAATTACGACAGCTATTCAAAATTTTGTATACAGCTTTTATGAGCTTAGTAGATTGATTTCCAGGCACAACTTGAATAAAAAAGTTTGTTCTCAATCCTGAATAGATTTGATTTTGAATAATATTAACCAAAGAAAATCATTTGTATGCGGAATATTAGCAATTTTTGTTGATTTTAATTGTTCAACAATTGCTTTTATTTGAGCATTGAATATGTTATGTGATAAAACTTTATTAATAATTATGTATGTATTAGAAAATTCTTTTAAAGTATCGGATACCATTTCTGTTACTGTTCGACAAAGTAAAGCAACTACTTGAAAATGCGATACTATCATAATACGATAATCTAATGAATAATAGTTACTCATATTGTAATCAGATAAACATGATATAAATGTCTGATTAACCAATTAACTTCTACATATTGGATGATAGTATAAATCCTATAAAAGAAATTGATCATGACGAATTGAATTTTGTTAACATGGACATGAAAGTATAGTTGGATATTGAATAGAAAGTTTTTCAAAAGTAACTTCAGTTGGTGTTGGAACAGACACAGTTTGTGTACGAACATTGAAAGTAGTGAAAAACAATAATAATACTGAGACTCAAAACCAATAATAAAAAGAGGAAAATTCTTGTAGCATGTACTATTTCGACAATAGATAATTCTTCTTTATCATTAAAAAGATTTATATTGATCAAAAGATAATACAATCCTTTAGTCTTACTCTCATCATCGTAAGATATTGTTTCTGCCATTTTAGATATTGTGCAATAGTTTATTTAATTTAAATTTATAACACATAATTGTTGAAGATATGACAAAAAAAAATATGTTTGTTACCAAATAATATAATCAAAATATCTTATAATATGCTTCTGCTCTACGGACTCGTTGAAAATAGTCAATTATATAAAAACTTCATTCAATTATTTAATTGGTTTGCAAGATAAAATATGTATTTTTCACAAATTCTGCTTTCTTCTGAACATTCTTGCTTTTATATTAATTACCATTTCAAATATTCCAACACATGAAAACCTTAAAAATGTCATGTGTTTTTCTAAGAAGTTATTAGAAAATTGCTTTAAATTATAAAATACTTTTCAAATCGTGGTAAATCATGTCGAAGTATGCAAGTGATTTAAAACATTTGCAATAGTAACATATAATTATAGGACAACCATACATGCATGAAAACACCATTCAGCATTATGTTTTAAAATAAAGCATGAGTAGAGATATTTAAATTTTTGTTCATACAGAAATGTCCATGCTCCATTATTATTTATTTATTCAAGGTATATTATAAATAGAGCAATGTTAAAGTATTTGTTGTGTGTATGTATTACGTAAATAAGCAGAATTTCGATATATTCAACGTGTCAACACGAAGTAATTACATTTATAATTTACATGTTGCTACGTGCATAAATTTTGTTTCTTCTCTAACATATGCAGAAGATATGAGAGGAAATCATATCTGTACATGTAGCACTTTGAGTTCAGTTCACATGTTTTTTATTGTCAATCTCTGTGGAGCGTAAATGTTCTTTTCACTTCGACATCTACTAAGACTTCCATAGCGACACCATCAAACTCACACTGGCTCAATGCAATGTGAATAAATCAGTATGTTTATTCAATGATCGATATGTTTTATAAAAACTTACTTCGAATAGTCTACAAATAAGAGCATATTTCCTGTTTGCAGTCATTTAAATAGTATATCGTAATAATTATTTTCATTTTTAGACCTTTAGTACTTCATCTCATAAATCGTTCACACTTGTTCTTACGAAGAAAATACGTCAAGTAATTCCTCCCTTTTATGCTCATATTCTGTACATAAGTAGAATTCGATGAGAAAAATCAGATATTCAAACAATTTATGGTTATTTTCTATTATTCAACAGTTAGAAACGTTATACTGAATTTTGACTTTTTAGCAGGTTATTATAATGAAATTTGAATCAAAGAAGTTTCACTTGATATATTTTATGTGCTGCGTCTTTCTCGAGATATTGAATTTACAATGGGATTTATTAACAGACAAAGTTTCAAATGACAAAATGTTTATCTGAGTTTTCTCAATAATAAAACTTTCCAACAATAGATAATCAACACGAAAGATTTTAGACTTTTCTTAGTCTCATATAATCCTACTTATAGACAAAATATGAGCTCGAAAGTGAGAAATTAGTTAGAGCATCTTTCTAGTTATAGCTATATTGTTCACAAATAAATACGTTTTACGATAATAATATTGTATTTTGTTATTTATATTATTTCACAAATATGATGTCGACGAAATGTCGAATAGTTTAGCCGTTTTTTTCGTATATGATATTTCATAGAAGATTTACTAATTCAATGACAATTAAAACAATTAGTTAATAGAACTCTATAGCAATCAAACAAGAAAATATTCCAAAGTGTTGTTATTATTTTATATTTTATGACTCGGTTATTTATAAACGATATGTTATATTCACTTTAGCTTTATTGAAACACTTTTTTGTGTAGATAGATGAGCAATTTTATTGTTAATCTCAATTATAAATTGATAGTTTTAATATTCCCATCCCTTAAAAAAGACAAATTTTGTCAAAAAGATCAAAACTGACACATATACCATATGAGAAAATAGTTCATAGCCTCATCTTTCATAAGCGACACGATTTTTTATTCAGTATTTTGTTTTTTTTGCCAACAATTTTTGATGATTTCCATCACTTTCTGCATGAAAAACATGCTTTTCTCAGAAAAAACTAAGAATATTTTCCCTTTTTTTTCTTCGTGTATGTGTTTTTCTTTCTGCGATTCAGAATTCTCTATGAATCTTTATTCTATTTATTCAATTGCTCTTTGTTTGCTTGAAAAAATATTTCGACATGTAGAGTATGATAAAGTTCCTTTTTGGCAATAAGCTTTTGTCGCTAGTATATAGAAAAGTAGTTTCATAATTAGAGTACCATTTTTTGAGACATTGAACTTATCTTCCTCTAAAAAGTGAGAATTTAAAAAAGAAGACTGTCACGCGTTGTATCCTAACATGCTCTTCCAAACAAACAAAAAGTTAATCATATAGAAGGATAGTTCATTGAGCATTTTGAATTGTCAAATGAGCTATTTTTGAATGTTTATTTGTTACATATCTCTGGCCCAAGATCAATCTTTGAATGGAGCGAAGGAGAGGTATTAACAATGACACTCAACTCCCAAAGACCATAGCTCATTTTCAAAAAAAAACTATAAAGTGCCAATGCTTCTTTTTGACAAGACTATCCCTTATTTATGTTTTTTTCTTAATTTTTATCTATAATCAGTAATGGCTTAGTTTATTCATAGAGATTAATCGATAATTGGTCTTCAAATCTGTACACTGTTTGATATAGATAATTTTTTAAGCATTGATCTACATTTCAAAATTTTATGTGCTCTATGATAAAATTTTCATTTTAACAATCTATCACTTTTTTGGAACAACCTACTTTAAAAAAATGAATTTTTTCGATTAAAAAAATAATTCTTAAAATAATTTTTTGTATATATTAAGAAGACTAAACTTTCATTATACGTAAGATTCTGCAAGCATTTAGAATAGTTTATATATTAGATTGCAGAAAAAACAGTTAACACATGTACATTAATGAATCTTTATTCAAACAATGAAGCATAGCAGTAAAAAAATGTGATAAATTATGCAATTAACTGCAATAAAGAACAGTGATTTCAATTTGTTTTGATAATATAAGTTGATATCGAAGTTACTTGATGAAATATATCAGAGCTGTTTTCATGAACATTTACGCAAAAGAAATATTCTAATCAATATTTGTCCACAGAAGTAGTCGTTAATATTAATAATAATGGTTCGATATGTCAAAATTGGAAAAAATGGAAATCAACCAGTAAGGAATCCTCCACTAAACTGGACTGATGGTTTACCATTACTGGTTGCAACGTTGCTTCTTATCATTTCATCCTTATTGATGCTCATTACTTTACTTTTTGATCAACAGTCTACTAATTTTCTTTATACTGTTATTATTACCTCAATAGGATGAATCGAACGCCCAATCAATTTTTCTGTCGCTTCGTGTCGGAAATTATCAATACGCGATGCGTAGCTCTTTTGGCTTGTTTAGATTTTGCTTATTTAAAATTTTGCAATCTTGCGTTTCTTTGTATCAATATATATCATGTATAGGCAACGCACGTGTGTCCAGCCAAGCGCACCGAATATAATAAAACATTCTGTGCTTCGTGTATATTTCACTTTTGATTTCTCTCATGGATAAAAGACAATACATCATATCATGAGTGATAAGCAACCACTACTATCAACTGTAGATCGTTTTTCTATTGATGATAGTAATAGCAATAGCAATAGAAGACAATCGGTGATTAATAAGTACAAAAGAAATAAATTTTAGAGAAGTATTAGCGACAATATCTTACTCATTTAGACTTTCCAATTGGCGTCAATATTTCTCGTTCAAACAGCTCGACCAAAAGTATGAAAATTTGGATAATGATAATGATCGCACTAAAGATGAACCAATTGTTGGATATTTTCAACTGGTAAGTACAAGAAAAGTGAATACATATTGAACAAAAGAGTGTTTCTTTTACTTTTTGATAGTTTCGTTTTGCTGATCGACTTGATCTTATCATGATATTTCTCGGATTATGTACCGTCGTAATATACAGTATGGTCTTTACAGCGTCTTTAGTTGTTTTTAGTCGACTTACGAGTGTATTTGCGTCGCAATCGTTTATCGGTCGATGCTCCTCACAGCAAAACGTATCGATTACTATTAACAATAGCAGAAGGTGTCCATCGAATACTGAGTCAAATATGTTCACCTACGATCAATCGCAAAAGTAACTGTTGATGACAGAAGATGCTAATATACTCTACCTTTTTTCCTTATTCACTGTTCATGAATTCTAGGCTCCGTTCAAATGATAGTACTACCTCAGCGTTGCTATGGCCATTTTCTACCAGCAATCTTCATGAAGATGTGACACACTTATTAATATGGCTGTTAAGTAAGCAGGAAAAATCTAACTTTGTAGGCATCAGCTAGAAAAACGGTTTGCATCTTGAATGTATATAGTCATTGTTTCCATTCAATTCGTGTGCCTTGCTGCTCAATATTTTGTCTTTACAGTGGTCTCCAGACGACAAATCTCTGGAATACGTATTCGTCTTTTACAATCACTTCTGCAACGCGTATGTCAATCACATTCATCTTCATACAGATATAAAGAATGGAAAAAAAATGAATGGTCTCCTCATTGTTCTCTCAATTTCTACATTGATTATCATCGTTCATACTTGTACTTGGTTTGAAACTATACATTGTGCCATTCTCTGTAAAATTATATGTTGTGAGACATGACTGAGATACAATGCTTAAGTATATTGTAAGAAAAGTTATTCCTACTCCTACCATACTCCAACGATGGTGACAAGCATTTCCTAGGAGTTTACAGTATATATCCCATAGTTTGTGACAGTTTTGAGGGATCTTTTATGTATTACTCATTAGTTCCCGAAGATATTGCGAAAAGCATAGATAGGTTTCACATTATAGTTCGAGTAATTTCCTTGTGTTCTGCATTTTAATTCCGTAGAAATGACATTGAAACCAATTATACTCGATGACAATAGTCTTCATCTTTTTTCAAACGCCGCAGAATTTTATGCAATAATCAAGTACAATTTTCAAACTTTTTCTTTTCAACTATTGTCCTTTGGTATTCTCATTCTCACATCACCGTAGATTGTTTCGTTACGTTGCCATGGGTGATAATACCAATGAATTTTGTAAAATAGTCGTCATATATGATGAGCTGTTTCAGATAAGAAAATTATAACGTTTAACAGTCTCAAAATACAAGCTTTAATATTGTAATAGTTTAAATATAGCAAGAGTAAAAACTAAAATATAAAAAGAAAATGAGAATTATACTTAATAGTTTTATATAAATCGTGAAAATCTGAAAAAGGAAGACTAAATTCATGGAATAAAATATACCTTTTGTCGCAGCTAGGAGAGAGCGATCAATGGACAGTGTATATTTTGAAAAAGAGCTTGTGTCTGAACACGGATGACAAACGAAGAAGTTGAAAACACGAGGAGCAGCTATTTATTGAGCTACGACGCCATGGTAGTTAGCTGTCAAACATGTTTATCGGTTCTTTTTCTTTTTCTCTATCTCTCTCTTGTTTTTAGAATATTTCCTATTGCGATACAAATTCAATCAGTCAGTTCAGTGTCAAATTGTTCAAGTAAGTCATTTTTTGGCAGTATTTACAATAGAAACGATATCTGCCTCTCTCATATCGTCTCATAGTAACATCGACCATATGAGTAAAGCCATCAGCTTTGAAGTATCGAAGTTCCTTGCAGCATTATTGTCCATTATTTCCAGTGTCGGTATTGCATTAATCAGCAACTGGAGATTGACACTTGCAATAATATGCACTGCCCCATTTGCTTTTGTCGGCTCATATGTCTTTTCAAAGGTAGATACAGTTGCTTTTTATTGATTTAGCTTATATTAACTCTACAAGATCATCACTAAAGAATCAAGAAAAGAATTGGATGTGTATTCAAAAGCTGGAGAAATCGTTCAAGAAGTGTTCAGTTCTCTTCGTACTGTACTTTCGCTCAATGGTGGAAAATTTGAAGAGAAACGGTAGGAAATATATCTACTGTTAGAGGAACTTTGTAAAATATGAACCATGATCATGTTCGAGTTTTATTGTCAATCTAGATATGAACGCGAATTGCAAGCGACTCGTAGAAGTAGTGTCCGAAAGGCTGCTGCACTTGGGCTTCTCACTGGATGGAGTTATCTGATAGGATACATGATTTATTCAATTGGTTTTTCTTTTGGTTCATCTCTCATGCATCACGAAGGACCTGACAAACTCAGTTTCAGTAATCTTATTCTGGTAAGTTATTCAGTTGACAAATAAGATTTCGAAAACCAATAAATTCTCGACATTTGAGTAGATAGTGATTACTTTAGCACGAATTATCACTAATATTCCATTTCTTGGTCCTTTCTTTCAAATGTTGGAAGAAGCTCGAGGTGCTTTGACACCTGTTTTTCGATTGATTGATGAAGTATAGTTATACCTAATTTACAATCTTGTCTCTTCAGTATTGCATCATATAGGAAAAAAATACAAGTTTCACTGAAACAGAAACATTGGAAGATTCGGGTTCTCCTGAACTATCTATCAACATAAATGATGATATTCAGTTTGACAATGTCAACTTTGCCTATCCAGCTCGACCAGATGTCTTCGTTCTACGAAATCTCACACTGACAATTTGTTCCGGTCAGACAATAGCTTTAGTCGGATCAAGTGGTTCTGGTGAGTACTTGCCAAAAAAAGCATATCGGAATTTGATAGTCTATAGTTTGTTAATCGAATAGGCAAGAGTACATGTATTTCCCTTCTACTTCGTTTTTATGAACCTTTATCGGGTTGCATTGCAATTAATAATCGATCGATTACTGATTGCAATGTCAAACAGCTTCGACAAAAGATTGGTGTTGTCAGTCAAGAACCTGTATGTCTGCCTTTTTCTATTCTGATTTTTGCACTTGATATTGTTCAATGTAGATTCTCTTTGCCACAAGTATCTATGAAAATATTCGATTTGGTAAAGAAAATGCAACAAAAGCTGAAATTGAGGAAGCAGCACGTCAAGCCAATGCACATGATTTCATAATGCAATTACCGAATGTTTGCATTGAATAATCTTTTTTAATGACATATGTTACGTTTTCTGTTTTCATAGAAATATGATACGGTTGTTGGTGAGAGTGGTGTTCAGTTGAGTGGTGGTGAAAAGCAACGTGTAGCTTTGGCTCGCGCTCTTGTTAAACAGCCTGCCTTGCTTTTGTTGGACGAAGCAACAAGTGCTCTTGATAATACCAATGAGAAGATTGTACAAGAAGCACTCGATCAAGCATGCAAAGGTTCGCACATATCTTTCTGTTCCAATCATACCATTTAAAGCTGTTCATAGACCGAACAACTATTGTGATTAGTCATCGTTTGTCAGAAGTTCAAAATGCACATCGAATATATGTGTTGGATAATGGATGTGTCATCGAACAAGGTACACATGAGACACTAATGTCACAGGAAGGAAGTCGATATTGTGAGATGATGAAAGCTCAACAAAAAGAAAAAACACAAAATGATATCGATGAAAAAAAGAGCACCGAACAAATCGAAGATGACGATCAAAGACAAATAAGTATGTACAGATTTTAAGAAAAAAAAAAACTTTGAACAAGACCATTTGTTTTAATTAGCTGAAAGCTCTCGACATCATAGTCATAGCGAACTTGACAATGAAAGTAAAGTAAGAGAGTTTGAATTCAGTTGGGTTCCGATAGTTTTTAGATGCACAATGTTCTTTTCATAGGCCTCATCGGATGTGAATCGTCGACCTGTTTTCTTGAGACTTTTGCTTATGAATAGACCCGAGGGGATCATTATTCTGATAGGCTGCGTTGCCTGCCTAATAATTGGAGTAAATCAATCCATTCATGCTATTCTACTCTCTCTTACAGTATCTGTAAGTTATTTTCATGCAAAGAATAACCCGAATTGTCGTAATCGATTCTTCAAAGGCATTTGGAGCATGTACCTACGAAGAACGACAACATCAAGTTTTGAAATTTTCTCTTCTCTTCTTGTTAATGGGTATTGTCCTTTTGGCTATACGTCTTATTCAAGTAGGAATATATTACATGAAATGTTTTATATTTTCTGAATCAATAGTACACTGCATTTGCTGTATCTGGCTCAAAGTTGATCGAGCGTCTTCGCATCAAAGCCTTTGCGCATTATTTGCGCCAAGAAATAGCTTTCTTTGATCTTCCTGAGAATAGTTCTGGAGCTATTTGTAATCGTCTCTCATCCGATGCGTTGGCTATTCAGCAGATGGTTGGCAGTTATCTAGGCATCGTTTGCGAATCAATCGCGACATTTCTAGTTGGTATTATGATCGGATTTTGGTTCAGTTGGCAGTTGACATTAATCGCATTCATCTATATTGTTGTTATATTTGTTGTTGCTTTGCTGCAAATACGTAGGCAAGCACGACTGAACAAACGCTGTGATTGTGTTCTTGGATCGGCAAGTTCGGTGAGAGGACCATGTCGATTGAAATATCATGCATATTGGAATGTTGATGCTGCATCTTCTTTTTTTAATAGTTTGCTGTCGAAATCATTCACAATATGCGCACAGTGAAACAATTGGCAAGTGAGGCAGAATTTCTACAGAAATTCTCAAGTTTTGTTTTTGAGGAGTTCAAGTCAGTCTTTTCATTACTTTTTCCTTAATCTCTGTGAAATATTTTCGCATAGAATTCGACGAAACGATACAATAATATCCTTCCTTGTATATGGTCTTTATTGGGGAACGAAAACATTCAGTGTGTTAATTCTCTTTTGGGAGGCTCTCATCCTTGTTGAACGCAAAGAGCTGAACATCAACAAACTCACTATGTAGATAAATAAAAAGCTTTAAGATCTATTTTACTTACAAATTCTTCTAGAGTGTTTGCCTATCACATTTTCATCTTGGAATCCGTACGATGTATTACGACTTTGTAAGTCATTTCTTCAGTCAACTTTGTTTCTTCAAGGGTTTTATTTAGGACACGACAAATGGCTGACTCATTATCAGCAGCTCGAAGCTTTTTCGATTTATTCGATCGAACATCAACTATTGACAATAGTTCCAACAATGGTCAACAATTAGTAAGTCATTTATTTAGTAAAAGACTTTGTGTTGAATAGATCAGCCTTATCTCATTGTTAAAATATGTTGATGACAGAGTGATTTCCAAGGTGCAATCGAATTTAATCAAATCAAATTTGCATATCCATCTCGACCAGCATCCTGCATTCTAAATAAATTTCAGTTGACGATCAAAGCTGGTGAGTTTATCACATGTATTTTAAGTTTAGTTTATGATAAAACCTTTGTATTTGTCAATTAGGCCAGCGTGTGGCTCTTGTAGGTATGTTCAAGTTAGTTGTTACCTATTCAAACTGATTATATAATCTATATACAAAGGTGCATCTGGTTGTGGAAAATCAACAGTCATTCAGCTTTTAGAACGTTTCTACAATCCTCTACAGGGTCAAATCGTAAGTATTTTTCTTTTATGCTGTCTAAATATTCGTGCAAACACTTGGCTACCGAAATCTAGTATCTTGATGATGTTAATATTCGACAGCTGAATATCCAATGGCTTCGCTCGACTCTTGGTCTTGTTAGTCAAGAGCCTATCTTGTTTAATTTGACTATCGCTCAAAACATAGCTTATGGTAAAGAGAATACTTTCATTGAAAACATTATCGACGCAGCCACTAAAGCTAACATTCATGATTTTATTCAGCAACTACCTCAAGTAAGTAATGTATAATAAATGATATTTGATAGTCTTTGCATTGTTGTGACAATAGGGTTATGGAACTAGAGTGGGTATGAAAGGTGTTCACTTGTCAGGTGGTGAAAAACAACGTATTGCCATTGCTCGAGCACTTCTTCGTCAACCAAAAATATTATTGTTAGATGAAGCAACAAGTGGAATGGACACTTACAATGAACAGGTTCGTTTCTCTTGGCATGTTCGGTAATTAAATACTCTCTTCTGATATGTTTAGATTGTACAAGAAGCTCTTGAAAAAGCTGAAACAATGAATTCAACTTGCACTTCACTGATCATTGCTCATCGTCTATCGACCATTCGTTCATGTGATTTGATCTGTGTTCTTGAGAAAGGATACTTGGTAGAAAATGGTACTCATGCAGAGTTAATGAAACGACGTGGAGTTTACTATCGTATGATTGTTTGTAACAGTATTTCATAAATTAACTTCGTTGCTACTTGAATGAAACTGACTAGAAGTCGAAATAAACTGTTCTCATTAATCAAAGGTCACGTCAAATAGTACAATAGCTGCGAAATGCAAAATCCAAAAATCGAAAATTTTTAGATTCAAAAATGAAGTGAAGATTTCTATTTTACTTGTTTCTGTAACATCACAGTCAAAAGGCATACTGGAGTGAGCGATGTTTTGATCAAAACACAAACAGAAACATCATGCTATATTTCAAGAACACTGGAAGCTAACAATTTCATTGTGTGATTGTGCGTTGTGAGTGTTCTCACCAGCAGCTGTCACAGCTACACCTTTACCGATATTCCTTTTAGTCTACGATGATTGATTATTTTTCTGATCTTCATCGCATGTATTCGCTGCTATCAGAAATTCGACGTATCATTTCATTTGTAGATTCAATATGAAAAAATTACAGTAAAGTCTACTGTTAACCATTTATCTCTTGCTGAACTATGTTTGATTCGTTTGTAGAACAATTGCAGAAAATCCAGAAAGTATAGAGCTCGAAAACTTTAGAAGCATATTTTGTAGCTTGTATAACTGGAAACCGATACAGCTATGATAGCAGGAAAGGATGTAAAGATGAAAAAGCTTGACTCTCTCGTTGTATTCAGACCTACATGAAAACAGCTAAGACACTGGTATTAGAGGGTATGAGTGTTTTTGCGTGAGTTTTTGACTACAAAATACCCCACACCGACACCCTTTGCGCAAAATGTATAGGGTGTCTCAAAATTATAAGACCCCTTTATTTTTGAAATTTTTTCAACAAAGACGAATAGCTAGGTCAAATCGAAATAATGATTTGGATAGCCCTTGAAATTTTCTATCCAATACAGTATTGGCCAAAATTTCAAATTAAACTTTGTGAAGAGAGTTTTCCAGAAAACTCTTCCACTGAAATTTCAGGTCCTACAAGAGTTTGACAAATATATTTTTAAATATAGTTATCTGAAAGAGCAAAAAATTCTGAGAAACTTAGGGGTCGTCCAGTTCTCGACGATGTTTCGTTCCAAAGTTATAAGCATGAGAAAACTCAAAAAATGTCATAATTTATTAAAAAATCGCTAAAATTCGGCTAAAAACATTTTTTTTTCGGTTTTTTTTCTGGTGCTTATAACTTTGGAACGAAACATCGTCGAGAACTGGACGACCCCTAAGTTTCTCAGAATTTTTTGCTCTTTCAGATGACTATATTTAAAAATATGTTTGTCAAACTCTTGTAGAAAATTGAAATTTCAGTGGAAGAGTTTTCTAGAAAACTCTCTTCAAAGTTTAATTTGAAATTTTGGTCCATACTGTATTGGATAGAAAATTTCAAGGGCTATCCAAATCATTATTTCGATTTGATCTAGCTATCCGTCTTTGTTGAAAAAATTGCAAAAATAAAGGGGTCGTATAATTTTGAGATACGCTATATTTTTTTTTTACTCATTTACAGAGATAAGGTCATGAGCAAAATGTTTTCAAAGGCTGTAGGTTTGCTGAAAATTCTTTTTTCTACAGATTGGTTACCTTTTACAGCAAGAGCATGTTTGTTATCATGAACATGACACCGAAATTTAGATGCAAGCTCAGCACAGGAACAAATGAGAGCCCAACTTTTCCAAGAAACAGCTCATTTATTGAAGATTATATATTTTTTTCGCATAGAAGGGTGCGAGCGCACATGCATGAAGGAGGGATACCCATATTGTCTTATCAAAATAATCTTGGTTTAAACTAAATGTTACTTTGAAGATAGGAAAAATTCCAAGTGGAAGAGTCGAGCCCCACTCCCAACTTGCCTTTCCTAATAGCAACGAAGTTTTCGTCAAAGATGAAGTGGATGTTGACTTCAAAGAAAAATGATCATGTTCAAAAATATTAATTTCTAATTTCTAATTGAATTATCGAATTTCGTTTCGTGCCTAATCAAAATTGATTAAGGTTTTTCAAGTTAATCAAAGACGAGTAACTACTGAATGTGTTACTAAACGAAGCTCAGCTTAAGTCAAAATAACCCATGTATTGATCGGCTTATTCGTTGCAACTTTCTGTGTTTTTCGTTTTGGACGAATTTTCATGAGCCAATTCAGTTATATGATTGATGGTGAACACTGAACCGTTGTAGAATATCAGTTGATATTGTTCTTAATCGGCCACAAATTACATCACTCTTGACGAGTGTCATACTTAAAGAAAATCAGGGTTAAAAATCGACGCATAAATGTCGGACCTCGAACAAATCTTTTCTAGTAACCACTTGCAGTATCTTTTCATGGTCAAAATGTTTAAGAATTTAAAGGAAATAATGTAGTACTCAAACACGCACATATGATCTATAAATCGAATGTATCGATCACTCAGCAAGTTAAAACTTCGACAAAATTATATGCGGCCAAAACATAGCTTTAATAACAGTCAATCCCATCGATGAAATATTTTGTAAGTGCTGTAGTTAACCTTCTCCTAATACATCTTCATTCACTGTGAATTCAATAAGACACGAGCTTCAAAATTATTACAAAATTATCACAAGTGTTGCACGTTCTGTTGATATGGCTAATTGCTTCATCGTGACCAATTATTTCGAGGTTCATAAAAATCTAACATATACTTAATTATTTATACCCTATGTTATCTTTATTTCTCAGAATAAAAGATCAATCATTCTAAAAATCACTCAACATATGTTTGCTAGATATTTATGCATTGTATAAATTGTTCATGAACATGGAATCCAACTTGTGATGGACACGAATTTTATAATCAATACTAAACCAGATATGGGAAAGCATTTACATAATAACAGACATTTTATCAGATTATATCGGTTTTATTCTATAGATTGATTACTCTTTATTTTAAAGAAAAAAATAATAATTTTTGTACATTAAAAAGTTATTTTGTTAGTACAAATTGATCAGCAATACCATCATCACTATTATGATAATATGTCAGATGCAGATATGTTTGATTGGCAAATATTGTTGTATATCCAAATTGTTGATCATGATATTTACTCCATGGAACACTCGAATACACATCAGTATCTAAGTTTTGACCCGCCATACCAATTAATACATGTGTTATACCATCGGCAACACATGTTTTTTGATACATAGGACATGATCGTTCATATGAATGTCGGTGTGCAAAAAGATTGACATCGACATGATATTGATAAAACAATGGTTCTACGTAGAATTGTAACATTATCGTAATTTCATGCTCACCAATCGATTCTATTTCTGATGTATACATATGTCGATGAGAACCAACAATAAGCCATGGAGTACGAGAACGATTGACTGAACGAAGATCTTGCTCAATCCATGCATATTGAGGTGATGATCGACGAAAATCATGTTCAGTTGAATAATAAAGTATATGTATTGGACCAACATCAAAGCTGTACCAAAACAAACCATTACCATTCGATGGAGAATGAAAACGATGAACCATAGGTACAGCACATTCACCACCTGAATCAGTACCATAGTCACCCCTAAGTATAAAATAAGATCGAAATGAATCCATATATGAAAAAACGGTCTGTTTGACTATATAATCAATAACAGTACCGCGATGTTCAGCAAGTTTTTTCGAGTTATTAAAGACAAACTTTCCATCCTGGTCTAAATCCTCCTGGACCTGGTGCACCGCTTGGATCTTTATCTCCTCCTGTAGCATGATCATATTCATGATTACCAATCCCGACCATATAAGGCACACGAGCTGCTATTGGTTGTATTTGAGTCATAAATGCATCCCATAGTGCACCAATACCTCGAGCATAACTAATATCGCCAATATGTAACAAACAAGTAATATTTGATGATATGATTCGTGTTGTTACTCGATCGATAGTTGACTTAGCACCGGGTTGTACTGGTGATAAACCCATATCACCATATGCAATCAAGGTTACTGCTTCATCTTTAGTTGCAGGACGATTTGTAAATGAATAGATTGATGACCAGCCATATTCATTATTTCCAACTCGATAAAAATAGGTTGTTGATGGACGAAGGTCTTCTAATAAAATCGTATGCATATATCCTGGATCGATGAATGTTTGTGGACCCCATGTATTCGCTTTTCCTTCGCACATATCTGATGCTGTATATGTTGTTGTTGATCCATTTCTATAAAACTCAAGTGAAAATGGATCAAAACCATATTGACATTGAGAAGTATATTGTGATGAATTAGTTAGATAGGAAACAAATATTTGATCTAATCGATCACCATAAGCTAAATGAATATGTGTTGGTTCATTGTAATTGAGTGGTTGAATATTGATTGATTGAGCAATTAATGAATAATTGCCTGAGCAAGAATGATCACGTGAATAATAACGAAATTGAAGTGGATGGCGTAGATTGATCATTTGCCATGACATACTAGTTTGTTTGGATTTGACAAATTCATAATCAAAATAACCGCAGGCTAATAAAAAGAAAAATAATATTCAATATCAGTTATAAAAAGAAACGAAGTACTGATCTCAAAAAGTTTTCGAGTTGTTTGATTAAATTTTTAGATATTCTATTGTAGAGACACACAAAAAAGTATTTTCACAGTTTTATTTATTAAAAAAAGAAGATGACATTCGTTTGAGATTGATGAAATGTATAGATTAGCGAATCTTTTTTCAAAGAAATATTTCAGTGCCAGATTAGAGATGGCACTTCAGATTCGTTATGCAAGAGCTACGATTTATTAGGCGACGAAAACTATCTTTTAGATTCTGTGAATTTTTCAAACAGGCGCATAGGAATGTCTCTTTCATATTTATGCTTAGAGCTGATGAATTTAATGGTTTTCTCATGCAAGTGAATTATGAAAAGAAAACCATATTTACCGTTAGTAAGAGGAATTTCGGCAAAATAAACTCCAATGAAATCATCGGTACATGAAGCTGATGTTGATGTCCAAGTCACATTGATCTGCTCATTACTAGTATAGACTGTAGCTGATACATTTAAAGTCGCTACTGTCAAAGCCGTTGAGAAATTTGAAGAAAAACCAAACCCGGTACCTCGATTACAGGCATGTGGACTTGGTTCATCATGTACTGAATGGCGTTTCCCAAAAGGAGCATTAGCATTTAAATGTTTGTCAGCTACGACGAAAACAATAAATGATAAAAGAAAAACGACTAACCACTTCATTTAACTCAAACAAACTACTGGTCCACATTGTCATGTTCTCTCTTTTTATACTCTGAAGTTTTAAAGCGATAAGAAAATAAAAACAAACAAAAGTATCATATCGTTTTTGACGCTCACGTGCGAAAAGAAATGGAAGAGGCTAGATTTTGCTTTCATCGCGAACATTCTACACAGGTGAAAAAGACATTTAAAAAAATTACATATGATTTAAATGTTCTGCACTTTTTGTTCATTTCGGAAGACGAAAAGACTGCGTTCAATGCAGTTTAATACTAACACGAAGAAAGAATACCTCTGTCTCCCGACTATCTTACGGTATAGTTGGTAGGGTCTAGCTTCACATTCAGTAACTCAATATCTTTATTACACCTAACACTATAAATAAACTTCGACAGAAGGTCAACCTGATTCAGAGTTTTTACTCTCAGTAGTCTGCCCTTCCCATGTACACTCGCTAGCCAAATACTAGTCACAAGGGCAAATTGATGTCAGAATGTAGTCAGCATACAATTATATCAGTTATTCGAGACAGCCAGTCATTAATGATCTGTCTAGAATCATTTCAAGACTGATAAAACTGAGTTTTGAATATACTACCTTGTTAATACATGCTAAACTACGTTGTCACTGAGTCATACCAATCAATTTAATACTGGAAAGTTTGTTTTTACCTTAAAAAAAGGACATCCATATTGCTAACGAAGCAGAATGAAGAATATTGTTGACATGGATAATTAAAGTGAGATGAACAAACAATATTGACTTACATGCGAAATATCTACCTGGCAAAACATGTATGCCTTTTACCTTCTAGACGAAGCGTGTAAACATGTGACAAAAAGTATATGTCGTGCTTGCTCTTCTTATACCTTACCAAAAAATGATTCTATTAGCATATCACTCTTTCTGTGCCAGAAATGCTTCACAAAACTTGTTCTATATGTAAATCGTTTCGCTTTTCTTTATAACATATATACAGACTTGTATAGCAATGAACCGTACCTTTTCAAGTGGTGAAATGAGCATCTCTTGTATTTTCACGAATGATTATCACATTACCGAAAGAAAAGAGAAATGTTTGTAGATCATTTGATCTTAGAAATAGTCATTTTAAATAAATCTTTCCGAAGGTCTGAATCGAGTTAGTGGATGAAGAGAATATTTTCACTCGACTAACTCTAAGAAAGTTTTGCAACAATCAACAGTATTGTTCTGTATATGTGTTGGTAAAACAAAGACGATCCCACACCCATACCCAAGATCTATAACGGTTGATGAGCAAGAAACAAAAGTTGTGAAAATGCAAAAAAGATTATTATTCGTAACTAAGTAGTCATCAATTTATCTTGATTAATGAAGTGCTTGTGTATTCTAGAAACATGATTCAAAGCGTCAATATTTAGTCTTCTGAATCGGAATCAGAAGTAAAATCTCTTGGATCAATAGTTTCAACCATATTACCATCGCCATCGATGCTTGAACAATGGCTAATAGCGTAATTTAAACGTTCGTACATGATTTCAGTCGTCGAATATGCAGGTAAATCGATAGTAAAAAAACATGTATGTGAACCTAAAACAAATGAATCTCATGATTTATCAATTTCAGTATGAAAGATCTTTAATTAATGTTAGAATTCTCTATATCTTTTGATCAAATTCAAAAGATCTTTCAGTTACAATAGACGAACATCACTTTCCATCCATTGAGTTTTACCTTCCTTCGGAAAATAAAATTGTTGCCTCATAAATCAAGATCATGTCGATTAGCAACTTCAAAGGCATAGCAGAGGATTTCAAAATAGGAAATCTATCTTTCATATATTGAATTAATGAAAATACCTATTGTGTTATCAAATTATCGACACAAGTTATTATTAAAACAAAACACGCTCTCCTATTCTGAGCGAGGAAAGAAACAGTAATCGGTGGTGCTCCATATCTGTTCCACTGGAAAACTGTGAAAATTAAATCATGACACTGTGCTGTGAGTTTTGCCATTTGTTCCAGATATAACTTGAGAGTTTTGAGCTAATTTTGGAGTTACAATAATAGTTACCTACGTCCACCAACTTCCACTGATTTATATATCTATCAAGCTATTATGATTCGATCAATATCATTGTATGGCTCAAAATAATCAGCCTTCTTGGCTAGACTGTTCTCCTAGAAGATCTGTCAACGGAATTTTTTAGAAAGTCGAAAGTATGGAAAAAATACTCTTCACACTCTGCAAAATTTTTTATGTAAACGTAAGTTTTCGTTTATACCTATCTAGTTCGATTGGTTTTGCTGCATTATACTTGTGGTGCCAGTGAGGAAAGCACACGGATGCAGCACAATTGAGACTCTTCCCAGGAGACATGAATCTCGACCGGGCAACTGGTTTCCGTTATATTACGCGATTGAATTCCCATCAAGTGGTCCTGAAAGCGGTCACCAATAGCTTGCACATACTCTCCTTCTTCATATACCAGCGAAAGTCTACTTCCACCAGTACTGAACTACTCGAAAATAGAGATTTACCTATTCCAATGACGACCAATGTCAAGTTAAGAATTGGAATTGAAACAGGTGCATTCTTACTCAAGAGAAAAGCCAGAGTTTAACTTTGAAATCGCTGTGAGTAAAAATTTTCAAAGAGAAATTTCTTCCAAAATGCATGAAGGTATGAAGTCAGACTTTGATGAGGTTTTACACTAAATATCTCAGTTAAAAACAAAGCATGGTTTCAAATTCTCTGATAAAAACTGCATTCACTAACATCATAGTCAAGAATCTAATTTCATGCATTCAACACAACTTTGAACATTAGTTTTGAAACTGCACTCGTTATTAACTTGAACCTCACTGAAAAGTCTGATGAATTTCCATTAATACAATAAACGATTTCTCTTATTGTGGGCTAGAAAATGAGATTCTTCAAGTCATGGCAATCTGATGTATGTGTACAAATTTATAGAGTCTACCTTTACCAATTTTAAAGTGATATGAATGTGAAACAGCTGATAGTTTGTAATGACTGATGTTTCATTCTTCGAACAAGTATCTCAATGAAAGTAACTGTTGCCATGAAAATCAGCATGGTGGACAACATGTGTTTAGATTTGGCTTCTGTTTTTCGAATGTTCAACGATTGATAATTAAAATATTGTACCAGTGGATTCTGAAGCTGTTCCGTCTACTGCATAAATGAACAGGAGCGCATTCATGGGAATCGAATCATCTTATGAAGTAGAAACCTTTCTTCTTATATACGAAGAAGACTACCTTGTAAACAAAATGAAAACCCTCAGAAAAAATATGTAGAATAGAAATTGCCGTTCTTGTCAAGAAAAAACCCACGAGTTAATGTTCTTTTTTTTCTTAATTTCTAAAGTTGACTTGAAAAATACTGAAGTTCTTTTCTTTCGTTTGGTAGACTTAAAAAGTTGAACATTACTTACGTGGAAGCGCTTTATCCACTTCATCATTGCTTAGATAATATGGATTAATATTGAATTTCGATGTAAATTCTTCATCTTTACTCGGTAATATACTTCTTCCCCAAACAAATATCAAGAATAATTTTCTTTGATCTTCATCGAATAATTCACTTAGGACTGTCCAAAATCGTTGAATGTGTGGTGCATCTGCACTTATATGCTTATAATTCGTGTTCCTCTTCAATAATTCAATATCAATTTGCCCTTTTCCACATATGGCTTCTTCAAGGTTACTAGCTGTAAATAAACTTAAATAATAGCTTGGTACAATACTATACAAGCCTTGACGAATAAATTCAATTTGTCGATGAAATTCATTTAGACGATATGCACAATAGTACGCACAATATTGTTTTAAATTATCAGAAGTAATCGGAATTTCTGCACCACCGGGAATGAGTTCATAAGTTTGTCCAGCTGAACTCACAATATCAAAACGTAGTTCACTCATAATACTACTAAGTAAATAATTGATGTCACTATCGGTATCTATCGACTGATTTCGTTTTAAAGTTTTTTCCATTTCATTAATAATTGTAAAACTTTGCATATCAATTGCTTCAATATCTTCCATAGTTACTTTTTCTTGCACCAATTGTTTCCATAGCAGACTGGGAAATTTTAAATCCAAGTAATGTTTTCGACGTATTGCCATGCCCATTAATTGTCCAATGAAACGATATTGATTTTTCACTTTAGTTGAAATCGATTTATTCGGTGGAAATACATTTGGAATCCAACGATCACGATTCAAACCAGTTTGTGTTCGTCCGTTTGGACATAAAATAAACAAAGACAGTCGTATACTACATATGTCCGAACAAATGCGTGTTATTGAATCTCTATAGGGTCCACCTTGATCTGTACTATGCATTCCAATGTATTGCGCTTGCCAAAGTTGTTCCTCTTCTCTTCGAAATAATACTTGAGCATTTTGATGTAATTGATCATAAGCTTGGTGAAACATAGTAGCTTCGTCCTTATCATCAACACTACTAGCTTTCACTGTGTCAAACTCAACTGAAGGAATTTCTTGCGACGATCTCACTACAGTTTTTTGTAAGGATTGATGAAACCAATGAAGCTTGGTTGAGTGAAATAAATAAATTTTATGTGCACGAATTTTGTCTGTGAGAATGCTTTGTCTCGGTGATAAAGTAAAATCGAGAAATGACACAACTTTTTCGATAAACATACTCAATCGATACAATAGTTTTGCACGAGTTATTATGCAGACAGCTGGAATATTTGATAGCGATGAGTAATTTTTATAGAATGTCGCATTAGACATGTCTTCGATGGATAGACTTTGAATAAAATCTTTGAAAGAGTCGTTGACTAACAATTGCTTATTCATAAAACTAATCAATTGTTGATCAGCTATCGTATCGAAATGACGGCTCGATTTTTCAACGTCATCTCGAGTGAATTTCAAATATTCATCTGAATTATCGTCCATTGTTAGAAAAACAACTTCAGGAAACTGTGCTTGCTTCTTTTTATCTATTAACACATTGATAACATCGATTATTGTCAGTATATCACGAAAACTTTGTGGACATTGTGATAAATCGAATCTCAGTTGTTGATTCAGATCGTTTGTTACATGCGTCGTACTTTGTTGATATTTCTGTCTCTCAAATAACAGAAATACTATATCCATGAGATTGTTTTGTAACATTTTTACTGTTGGGTTACTTATTAAATTATTTTTGGCTGATATTTCAATAAATAATTGGAACAAGAAATGTTGAATTTGTCCTTTCAAATTGAAATTTTTGCTTGCATCAAGTAAACTATTAAACAAAAAAAAAGAGTTATTTTCGTTTTTAGGATGCCTAATATAGCTCTGACCGAGACTATTTCATATTGTTGTCTTTCTACTTATAGAAATTCTGCTTACTCGTTCAAGAATGATCTAATATAGAAAGTTGATTTTACAGCCTACTATTTTCAGCAACAAAAAAATCTTTAAAAATGTTCTGTCTTGTCTATGATCTTATATGATTGAAAATCTTTAAATTTTGAGAATCGAACTCGAATTGATGAGCTTTTTTAATTGCAGCACTCGAAAATTGTATTTGATTATAGAGTTCTATAAGACTATGCTAACATATTTCATTTGAGAGTAGTAGGCATAAGATTCGCGAAAGACAATGTAAGGTTATAAGCCAAGAGTATTGTATGTTTTAGACATCAAACGTGTGGGTGTGAGGGAGGGAGATTGGACTATGTGTCATTATAATTCGATGTACGTCTTTCTAGTTCGTTAATTAAGAGGCACAGAAATACATGCATATCCATTGCTCATCATTACCACTTTGAGATGACATATATCTTATTCCACTGCAAGCATTCAGCACATGTACACTCTTGTCATTCATTAAGTGGAGATACTCTTAGCTAACGAGATCAAAAAAAGCCATTCACTATGAGGTTTTACTGAATTTTGTCATTGTTTTTACTTACGTGGAAAAGAGACGTAGAATGCATATTTTTAATTGATGCGTTGGACTAATCAAAAATAGATCGAACAACAGACTGATTAATGTTACAGGAAATAGAACTGGAATAAGTGAATCGATGTCACGATGTTTCATCGTCGATTTATCGATTGCCAATTCAACAAATAGATTCAATATTTTGATAACAAAATTCAAACTTGATTGTTTAATCAGTGTTCGTTCGTCAATGGCCTTTGTCTCATTATCACAATCACATAGTAATAATAATGGGTCAAACAAAAATTGAATCAATTGAATAGTAATGTCTCTTTGCAATTGATAGATTAAAGGAACTTCTCTATGTATGATTTCATCTCTAATTTCATTGTGATTACTAGCATATTTTAATAATTCTTGTATTTCAACTTTGAGAATCGAATTCGTTAATAAACTCATGATATCAATATTTTCATCTATGTTCGTATTTGTATACGTGTAGCGATAATCCATCAACTGTAATAGTCTAGTTATGAATGCACAATCACCAAATTTTTCCCATGGAAATTTATTTGAACTATGATCTGACCAAACTTTTAACATATTGAATAAAGTATAACGTGCGTAGATCATTGTCAATCCATGTTCACAGGCGACACGCAAGTTCATATATTTTTGTTGTGATATTTGTCGATGTGAATATTGAATTGATTTTTTAATCTTTTTTGGTTGACTTTCTACGAATGATGTCATTGTTGTTAGTTCTTGTTCAGATTTTGTCAAATCGAACAATTGACAAGTGAGATCTTCTGCTCGAATCATTCTTGTTTTTCCTTGAATCCATTCGTCGAGACGATCATTGACACCTAAATCACGAACAGTTTGATAGTACCATTTTTTGCTTGACAATACAGTGTCATTCTCATTTGAATTTGGAACATTTTCTTTCGTTTCATACGTCATCAACAACGATTTCGAAGTCTGTAGATCGTGACAATGCAGTAACACGAGTTCATAAGCAGCTGTCACTTGTTCGTCAGTATCAAATTTCGAGAACGCAAGCAGATCTTCCATTTTTTCTCTATCAATGGATGGATTTAATCTCGACAAAATATTGAAATAACGTTTTTGTCGATTTTGAGCTTCGTTCTTCATGAATTCTTCTTTTTTCTCACGTATAATTGTATCAATCCATTGAATATTACTCGTATTGTATTCTTTCATAGCGTATTTTATCCATGATTCTTTGTATCCAATGGCAACTAAATTTAACGCAACGATAGAAAAGGGTGGTGCAACCAAAGTTTCTAATGAATATTTTGTTGATTTCATTTCTTCACGATTATCTACATCTGCTATTAAGCCGTTTAAAAATGTGATCGATTTACATTCAATTCGAAGTCTATCATCATTAGTCGTATTCTTTCCTAAATCCACTTCTCGAAACAGTTCAATTCGTTTAGCTTTTGCCATGAATTGGTTCTCATTGACATTGACACTTAGTTCCAGTATTCCATTTACGTAGATTTTGACAACTTTCTTTTGAAACGATATATGCAAACGGAAATATTCATTCAATTTCAATGTTGAATCACTTTTGTTTTGTGTTCCATTACTAGATAGAATAATTTTACCATTATGTGTAATATAAATTTCTGATTGTGTATTCAATGTCAATAGTGTCAATTGTTCGTTATTCGTTGGCCAATTAGGTATGCAAATGTCGAGAATAAGTGTATATTCGCACCATTCATTAGCTGATTTGTCTAGAACGAGATATGTTTTATTTCCAAATAATTGTACGACGGACTCATCAGTTCCAGCAATTGTTCTAAAATATTTGAATTCATCAATGTCAACTTGTTTCTTCTTTTTCTCCCATATGTTCTCTTCGAATGGTTCATTAAACGGAACAAGTAATTGACTAGAAAATTGTTGTTGATTCTTACTGAACGTGATAGTGTTTGCTTGTTTTCGATGTTCTTTCAACTGTTGATAATCGATTGCTACATAGAATAAGCCATAGGTGAATAGACGTCGAATATGTTCCTCCGAAAGAGCATATTTCCAAATGCCGAGATTCTTTATTCCGACGGCAATATTAGGTAAAATATGAAAATTTAGTTTCGCCATCTTCGTAGTTTCAAAAGCAACGTGAAATTTTCGACATTCATTATTGAAGTAGATTGTCATTTGTTGTTCTTTCAGATCGAATATGATTGCAGTTCGTATTTCGTTTTCGATTTTGCTTATTGAGATTTGCACTGAGAATATTTCTGTATTCTCTAGTGTAAATAACAAAATATCTAATTTTGTGTCAGTTTCGTTTTCAACTTCTGTTAAAATTTTAAAATCAAAACTGATTGTCAATGACGAAGCATAATTATCGATCGCAAGTGGTAAACCATTACTATTTTCTGGTAAGACTAGGTGATGATCATCCATAGGGAAACCTGTTTCAAGGTGATGTTCGCTTACAAAATCACGCAGAAAAATCGTCGATGTTGTACTTCGTTGTGTATGAAAATTATTTTGAACTTGATCATCAATCAAATAAGCGCTGTAAGGATAAGCAACAATAGAATTTTCGATATTGATTAATTTCGGCATCAGTAATGGTTTGTAACCTTTGGGCAATGGACATTTTGTCATGTCTTCTGGACTAAAAATTAGTTCACAACGACTACTAGAATAAGAACGCACTTGTAAAGAAACACCAGGAAAATAGGTGGTACCCTGCCGTCCATTTGGTAACATATTACATTTTGTCGTTGTCGATGCGATATTTGATTGATGTTCAAAAGCTTTACCAAGATAGTTTCCATTGAGCCAATATTTGATACAAATATTTTCACCGTCAATTTCAATACCACAACCACAAACATCATTTTTTTTCCACCGAATATCATCAGAAGTAAAATGAAATTCTTCATTATTATAAAGTGTACCTCGTGATCCATCGTATGACCATGAATACGTATCATCGCCTATTCCACGAGCATCATCTGGAACAGGTATAAATCCATTTGTTGCCCATCCAATTTGAATAATGTCACTAACTAGTATTTTAACACAATAATACCATTTACCTTTACTTACGTGTACATTATCAACAATATATGTTGGAAATGGTCCATTTGTGTTTTTAGGATTCGGAGAAATTCGTCCTTTGAATTTATGATTATTACCACATCCTTCGAATACGCTTGAGTCACTAATGTTGAGTGGCATTGGAACAATTGAAGGTTCATTACTTCCAATTCGACCTCTTCTAAACGATTCAATTTCAATTTCGGATGCATATGGTTTCCAACCATTATATTTTAATATGTTCGTCGATAGTGCGTTAACAATCAATTGATTGCTATTAATATCATCATTGTTCCAAACGTATGACGAAAATTTATGCTTACTATTTACAACTATCGCATCATGCAACAATTGGCTGTTATTACCATTATCGTTGTGTACGATTTCATTTGAGCTTAGACACTTATCTAAACTTAAACAATACTGTTCCAAATGTTGTCTATTCAATAATCGTAAATCAGATAGTTGCCGACAATTATTCGATAATGAATCAGATATGGATAATTTGACAATAATGGGTGCGTATGGTTTTTGCATGAATACTTCGACGAGAGTTTTATCATTCAATATATGAAATAAAACGGCTACTGAGCGACGTTTCAGTTGTAATAACGGTACAGATTCATTTGTCGACGTATCAATTTGTATGAAATATGCCAATGCATCGAACAATGAATGTATGGCTGCATTTGTTTCGTTTGCTTTTGGTAACAAGTGTAGATTAGGTGGTGAGACATCGATTTCAATATGTAGTTCATCAATTGTCACTGTTTTTATTTCATTCGTTTCTAAATATTGAATCAAATAGGTCGACGTATCGGGTATGTCCGAATCACTAGCATTCGTGTCAATTTCTATGATAGTTGCCAATTGAAATTCATTACTTTGTTCATCGGTATATATTTTTACAATTGAACCTAAACAAAAAGGTTGAATATATCCACCCAATATACATAGAGATGCAACCAAACAATTCATTTGGACCATGCTGTCATCTTCGAGTAATTTCAAATAAGTATTGTCCTTGCTTGATGTGACAGTGTTAAAAATCAACTCTGTTGCCACCATTTGCCATGTTGATTTTACAGACATTACTGTACGATATAAATAGATCAGTTCGGTGATAATATATGACGGAATTTGTTGTGCAATGAAACTATTCCCAATGCAAAATAGAGTCTTGGTCAAAAAGTTCTCAATAACACCCCTTGATTCCTTGTTTGCATGCTTCGGTATTAGGTAACGTAAAATTTTCAACGCGAGAAAACTGGTAACACTATTTTGATAGGTGTGATAGATGTACAACAATTTTTCAATGTAATCAATCGTTGCACAAACAGATTGAACATGTTCGTAAAAATGAACAATACGAAGTAGAAGTATCAACCATTGGTTTATACAGAGTTCAATATCAAATTTTGATGATAGACCATATGTAACATTTGATGTATCGCCTTCCGTTGTTGTTGCTCTTTTAATGAACCAACCAATGGCAAGATTATCTAAAGAATTCTTTTTATTATTTAAAGAAAAAGTAGTTTCGTTTTCTGTATCAATTGGCATCATTTGTGTCAATCCTTTCAGTTCGTTTAAAATCAAAGTATTGAAAACAAATTTCTGTTGTTCGTTTAGAACTTTATTGTTGGCACCTTTCTGTTCAGCCAATTCAATAGTTTCACACAGTTTCAATACGAACAATCGAAACCAATTGTATCCAATCAATTTTCTATAGAATCCAACATTGTTCGTGCACTCTGATTTTTCAACAAAGCTAACAAACAATGTGAATAATGTGTATACAAATTGATCACGGTATAAATACTCAATATCAACTGCTTCATATGATAAGTTAAGCAAGTTGAACATATTTCGCCATAAGAACTTTGGTTCAGAGGTGATCGATTGTAATATATAGGACAGAATAGTTTTAATTATAGAATAATAACTGTTTCTAATTTTTTCTTTCAGATTGCAAGTTGATGCTTCAATATTTTCTAAATAGGACCATTCTAAGTCTGTATTTCTCAAGCATGGTAAATAAACAGACAAGATAGTTAAGACCAGACTTTGATTTTCAATACTTAATACTTTTTGAATAAACATTTGAATAAATCGGTACGTTATCATTCTTGTCATTGCTCGTTCATACTGCCGTGACATACATTCAATAAGTTCATCTGATTCCAATTGTTTTTCTTCGCTTGTCACCGTTTTGTAAAGATCACCATAAAGGTAACCATCAATTGTTCGATTTAAGATACTTTCATTATCGGACTTTTGTCTAATAGCTTGTTTTTTGGCTATTATCAATCTTTTAAATCGTATACAAGCATTCATTGTATTTCGAAGCAATTGAAAGACACGTTTCGCTGTTGTCCATCGTGAGACTTGTCGCTTGAATGACGGTTTTATTTTATGTTCTATTGGTGTCATTATTTGTGTACTTGTTATTGATTGCAGAAGATCTTCATTGATAATTGGAATTGAATTACTTGCTTGGACGGATGACAAAAGAAATAATGCATTCATTTTTACTTGTTTGCAAAGTTCATTACAGTCACCACCTTGTGCTTTTGTTGTGGCGAATAATGTTTGAACATGACTGGCATATTCATAGATTGATAAAAGTTTACAGTGTGGTCTTTTATTATCCGTTTGAGCTAGTTCATGTTTAGCTAAATTAATTCGACGATAATGTTTAATATAAACAGCAAATACAGCAGCAAATGCATCATTTGCTTGTTGTTCAATCGATTTTTGTAATAAACGTTGTCTGTCTTTCATATGTTCTTTCATTTTTGATATCAATTGTGCACCCTGATTAGTATTATTATAAACTGACATGACAAATTCATGATCAAATGGTGGTCGTTCAATTTCATCAGTCAATGTTAATTGACTGTAAGTAGCTAAAGGAGATTCGAACAAATCTAATAGATATTTATTATTTTCTATTATTGTTCTTTCACAACCACCAGCAAACAAGAGTGACTTTAATTTATCGGCATGTTTTCTTTCTGTTAAATTCTGTTGTGAACCAGTAATCATGACATTACACATCTTGCCTAACAGCCAACAAATACAATGTAGATTATTGTTTTCACATGCTTCACCATTTGCATTTTGAACTATATATTCGACGAGTATTGGCATAGTAGTTGTGAATATGAGTTGAATTATTTCAAAGTTAAATATCTCATTTGTTTTTATCATTAGACACAAACCCGCAAGCATTGAATTGAACAAATCATTCATTATGATTAGTTTATCAATATAATTACTTAATATGTGATTTATATACTTAACTACCAGAGATGATGCAGTAGTTGGAGCAGCCGTTGTAGAAATTTCATTATCAGACTCTTTGTTTTGATTCTTTTTCAACTTACATTCCGATACTAATCGCCCTAATAGAAGTTGTTGAAATGACATCAGGATTTTTTTCAGCTGTTGCTGTTGTTCATGATTTATTTCATTCGATGATTTGAAGCAGCTGTCGATAAATGAATAAAGTATTTTCAATGCTGTAATTTGTTCTGTCTGGTTGTCATTGTCTGTACATAGAATTTCGATCCAGCTTAGTAAGACAACGTTTTTCGTCAACTCTTTGCATAATTGTTGTACAAACATTGGATGTTTATTTTCCATTATATGTTTGTGAATAAATGATAACTTTTCTATAAATGACGATGTCCGTACATCAAAAACGTGAAGAATAGCCTTGGATGCTTGACTACATATGATCGCCTGCTCAGACTTTCCATCGTCAATACACACTAGTTTCAGCAAAGTTTCAAACCATGTTTGTAATTGATCGTTCGTTGCAAATGCATTTAAATCGAGGTGACTATGTGATGCAGATACTGTGGAAGATAGAATTGCTTGTGTAACTTCATCGTTTCTGGTCAATAAATTATTATCAAGATTCGATTTTGCAGAACATAAAATTTCCAAATGTGTTGTACATAATCGTAAGCAAACAGTTAAAATATGGACGACAACTGCATCCCAAGTCTCTATTGTCATGATTGTTAGTTTTTCAATGATTTGAAACAACCATTTAAACGTATCTGGATGAAACTCGAATGACATAGAACTATTGACTAAGTCACGTTCTGATTGTTTGATTGCATTAACTTCATTATCAAAGTCAATATGTGCCAGAATAATAGATGATAAGAATAGCCCGGTAAATTGTTTATCATTCAATTTCATCAGTTCAGTGTTTGGATATACTCCAACTTTTTTTAAATAATTCAATGAAACCAATCGTCTTTCCTCTAAAAACATGACTCCTTTTTTGAATGATGTACGTCTTTAGTCGATTCGAGATAGGCATTAGATATTTCTAGATAGAAGACTAAAGTTTAACATATTCGATCTGACGATATCTTCAAATATTCAGGCAATAATCTATTATGAATAGTCGTTGTTACCATATTTTATTAAATTGTTACTCAGAATCTGCGAAGAAAATTTTTTTAATGAAATAGACAATTACACAGGCACACATTTAGTTAAATTGATTAAGACAGGTAAGTATTAAAATCTCTAATTAACTAAATATTACGTTTTTAAAACGAATACTTAGAGATGTTAGTACAAGTCTAAGAGACGTATCGAGATAAAGACTTCATGCATTTTTTAAGGATAATCATCAACCTATATTCACTAAAAAATGTCGATGGATCACTTAGAAAAAATTTGTCATCATGATGAATGAACATCAAGCTCAAGGGTCAGAAGCTTGATAGAGATTATATTTGGATAGTCCTAAATTTATCGTTTGCTCCCTCAAAATCTCAGTCACTTAAAACTAAGTGTTGACGTTTACACATTTTTCTCGTGTAATTACATTTGTTTGGATAAAACTAACGAGTAAAATGAACACTTCTAGTTATTCTTCATCTTATATTTTTCTACTTTTACTTGAATTATTTTCTATTATATATAATTCAAGTGAAGAAAAAACGCAACAGACAAATGAAGTATTTTTTTTATTGGAAAATATGCTGAAAGAGGTCTTAATTTCAACGGATAATCTTGTACAGATACCACTCTGCAAGTAAACGTCGTTTTTCTGCACTGAAATAAGATGAAAAGTAACTTCTATATGCACCATGAGAATGAGCTTTCAACACGGAATACTGTATCTACGATCATTGATAGTTACGTATATTTTTAGGGTTCGGTTATAGTGCATGACTGTGTGGAAAAATCTCTCAAAAAACGACTTGATCATTTTTCGAAATAACGCGTTCTCATATCACACTACGTATTTGTTTTCTTCAAGAATGTTGCATACAAAAACTTTCTTCTGCTTATATATTAGCGACTAATACAATCAAAGTTCTATGTTTATGAATATCACCACAAATTTCAAGAAGATCATGTGAAGTAACTCTTATGAATAGAAATAAAAATGGTTCTTTAAGTTTATATTTATTGAAATCGCTATACATTTTGATTAACTAAAACGGTAAAATATCGTTCGAAACACCATCTGCGGTTCTATTCAATCAATACCGACATATTAAAAAAGAAGTCAATGTGAACGATGCTCCCACTCGATACTAAATGAATTATTTCATGAAACACAAGGTGTAAATATGTGTCGAAGTATATAGTTAGATAAGTGAACGACTGCTATCCCTCGAACAACCTTATAGGTCGTACGAGACATACAAATTACATTAGGATATCTGACTTAAAATTATAATATGATCAAAATGAGTAATATTCTTGATTGTGTGTAAAACGGATTTATAACATTTCACGCGTTAATGCGAACTCGATTACACTGAAAACTTTCATGCCTAAATGAGTTATAAAATATATATAGTTTACATCTCAATAAAAGATTCAGTAATGAGTAGATTTTACAGTTGAAAAGTTGTCTTTTTTTTGCAATTAGAAGCATACTGAAATATGTATGTCTCTAAGCCTGAAGCAAAATATGTTTAGAACATCACTAACCAATCCAAATATGCTTGTATCGATCACGTTGTTGCTGGTTCAATCTTTGGCATGCTGTACATTGTGGTCCATTGGTAGGTCCACAATATCCATCACTTGTTCCATCATCTGGCATAACTCTACGACCACAATAGAATGTCGTCGGTAGCTGACTACTGCATCGTGCTGGTGCACCGTCGCTATTGACAAGCCATCCTCGAGGCAGAATTCGTTTCTGAACATCAAGCAACATACACGATGAACAATTGCAACCATTCGTTGGTCCACATTTACCATTACAGCAGTTACACTGTGATCCATCGAGTGTACCACCACAGTAGAATTTTCCTGTGCTACCCAAACGAGCATATCGACCTCGACTATTAAGTGTTCTCTCGAGACGATCATCAAATACTGTAGTACTTTCATTAGTAGACGTTGCTGATGAATTACTACGAACTAAAAATAAAGTTTTATCATGATAAATTTAGTAAAAGAGCTATGATTTTTCTGGAGTAGTAGGTGTTTAGCAAATCATAATTTAGACATATCATTTTAAGCGAGCTGAAATTATTGAAAATCAGTGCTTTTCTCTAGTCTGAAGTAATCTATACAAAATAAGCGAAACTTATTTGTCAATAACTG